TGCCAAATAAACATGATATCAAATCGTCAAACTGCATTTTCACAGAGTATCAGTATCTACAACACCTGCTTTTGTCCTGTTAAAGGTCCATTTACCAACATTTACATTCATTTCAAAGGGTTTACAAACAGTAAAGTGCATTAAACTAAGTACTTTAGCCATTTTCATACATTTTCAAGTGTACTTCATAAATACATTTACATACATGTATTTTTCTATAATACATTTCTATCTATAATATTTCCCCATAAATTTTAACATATTTTAAATGCATTTTAAAATATATTTACTAATATTATTAACATGACAATATACTCTGAAATGTCTTTTTTATTTTATGAATGTATTTTGGCCTGGACTGCAATTTATTTGAAATGCTCAACCGCAGCCGTTAATAAAAGTCCCCGCGATGTGGCTGATCAATGGCAGCCACTAATAAAAGTCCCCGCGATGTGGCTGATCAATGGCAGCCACTAATAAAAGTGGCCGCTTCCTGCTGCCACAAGAACAGCCACTTCCACCCGGCACGCAGAGATCCAACTCCTACTGAAAGAAACCCGTGAACACGGTACCGGTTCAGCTCGGATCAGCTCGCTCGGCTAACGCTGCCTCAGCTGGAGTGGAGCTGTGAGGGCGGGTCTCAGCAGGTTTCGTGTTCGGCCGCTGATAATAACGCCGTTTTCTTTAGTTCATGTTAAATGAACACAGATGACCGTTTGGATGGTCAGTTCCTCCTGTGTGCTGGTTCAGTTCTCCTCTGTCCTTCTCCACTAAACTGGTCATCTCTGTAGTGTTTTTCCTGCCGGAGCTGCTGTTTTTGTTGATTGGTGGGTCCGTCTGACTGGTTTCTGAGCTGAAACGCTCATCATTTATTTCACTCTGTAACGTTATGAAGATTAAAGTAGTGAAGTAAAAGTGTTTCAGTAAAAATGAACTCAAGTAGAGTAAAAGTGCTCTGATTGAACTCTACTCCAAAAAGTACCGTTACAGGGAAAACTGTACTCAATTACAGCAACGAGAGGAAATGTAGTTCGTTATTTACCCCTCTGACGATGTCAGGCTTGTAACAACAGTGCTGTATAGAACCAACACATTGTGCATTAATCTTAAGAACCATTTAATCATGCTAAGGGTTCTTTGAAGCCTTGGAGAACCATCTTTTTAAAGAGCACATGTTTGAAAATGTGCACAGCTGGTTTTAGTGAAATTGTAAAAAAAAACATACATAGTTAAAATGTATAATTGATTAGAGGAAAACGAGCTGAGTCACTTAAACAATTATGAACATCTGCACTAATTTCCTTCAGACGTTCCGTGACTCTGTGACACTGAGCTGAGATGTTCCTCGGTTCTGTTGGAGTCTGAAGAGTTCAGGCTGAGGATGTTCAGAATCGTGTTCAGCATCTTGATCAGTCTTACAGCTACCACATCACAGCCCCTGTGACACCCTCCGCCTCCTCACCACCCCCAAGGAGCATCGGCCAGTCAGAGGCCCCTGGCACTGCCTCCTCTGGCCCGGTCAGTAATCTGCCCCCCCCAGGCTGTAGTTTATGAGAAAGGTGCTGATTTGGAGGAACTGGCGGTCTTCCTGTCTCAGCGCTTAGGGGCGGTCCGGCCCCTAACGCACTGACCCCGCCCACAGGACACCCTTTATTACAGCGCTGATGGTGGAGGTGAGAGGTGAAGGTCTCTGCAGTGTGGAGAACAGCAGCGTGCTCAGCTTTCTGCTCCAGATTCACTTTCAGACGTTATGTAATACTTTATTAACACCAGTTGTGAGTTTATAACACTATAACAACACTATAATGACTTATAGAGGATAAAGGACGCTTTATAACACCTGAAATAAGCCTGAATCACTGCTACTGAGGAATTACAGCTATGCAGAAAAAGTCCATCAGTCTGTATCTCTCTGTCTGTCTGTCTGTCTGTCTGTCTGAGCTGCTGTTAAACCCTCTTTAGTCTAATTCCTGAGCTGAGATGTGCCGCAGGTTCTAAACACGTCTGTTAAAGCGTGATTAGTCGGATCTCCAGTTTCTGCTGTCACTCTAAATGTAGTTGATCAGATTGTGTTTGGTGTCTGTCTACAAGGCTAGTGTTGTTAACAGGTAATGAAGTTTATAGCCCACCAATTAGCATCCTGCCTTAATCATCACGCACTCCTCAAACATGTCAGTGATGTCGGCTTCGAATTTTCCAGCTTCTTATTTGAATTTTCATTCCACCTTAAATGCGACGCTGATGTGTTAATGCTCCAACTCCAATCTGCACTGATCTCTAAGTGTCTGTGGTTCTTCTCTCAGATCAGCAGGACTCAGAGTGTGTGTTCCTCTCCTGGCGGCCTGAGCTGGAGGGTTATCCAGCAGGTTTCCTGTGCTGGGTGTGTTTTCCTCTGAGCTGGACTCAGGTGGGGTCATCAGCAGGGGCTTTAATTACAGACCTCACCAACAACACAGACTCTGCTACAGTCATTAATGCTCCAAAACAAATACATAACTCCCACAAACCCAAATTTATACACAGGACAAACATGGTACTGTGACCTGTCTGGACCCATCTGACCACTGATAAACATTCTGATCTAAAGTTATGGAAATATATTTGGAAATTAAAAATGTTGAGTCATTATATAATGTCTCCTTTTAATTATTACGACAGAGAAAGTTTGGTAGATAATAGTAATAATATTAAATAATAATAATAATCAGCTCTCAGTAGCAGTAATGCTAACCAATCAGTACTCAGTAGCAGTAACGCTAACTGATCAGCGCTCAGTAGCAGTAATACTAACCAATCAGTACTCAGTAGCAGTAACACTAACCAATCAGTGCTCAGTAGCAGTAACACTAACCAATCAGAGCTCAGTAG